AACACAAAAATCGTAATTGGATAGACAATAATAATATTAGTATTAGTATTAGTATTAGTAGTATTAGTAGTCGACTATTAGTTGTTCAAAAAAAAGTTTAGTCGATTTCAACCTCTAATTGGAAGCAATCAATCAAAACGTTATATGGAAAAGACGTTTTTGTTCTAAGGCCAACTGGTAAAGGGAAGCTTATATTGCTAGTTGCCCGCAATGGTGGAAACTGAAAAACAAAAGGAATAACAATTGTAATTTTTCCATTGTTATCACTTATTATTGATCAAATTTACAATTTAAACATGGTATATAAACATTGTGCTTGAATAGTCTACAAGAAGCTAAAGAAAGAAAGAAAGCTCTTACTAAACCTAATGACTTCGGTTTTGTTCGTTTTGTTCGGTTTTATTTGAATTATTATTCGTTCTATTCGTTTTATTCGAATTATTATTCGCTTTATTCAATTATTCATTTTATTCGTTTGATTTTTTTACTCGAATTATTCGTTTTATTTTTTACTTAAATTATCGTTTTATTCGAGTAAACCTTATTCGAATAGAAACCTAACTACCACTCAAGATTATGATATTATTTTAGCACAAAGAGTTTTAGAAATATTTAACCAATAACTTAATTACAATATAAAAGAGCAATAACTAATAATTAATTAAAAAATAGGATTAATTTTAGAAGAATATCTGATAAATAGGCTTTTAGACTATATGATAAAATACTAAGAAAATTACTAAATTATCAGTATGCCAATACCTTGATTGTTTTTTTAAAGAATGTTGGCATTCAGATGTCAGATCCTGATATTTACTGATTACCCCATTACCCAATTTTGGATCATTTGACCAGTAAAAAGAGAAAGAAAGATGAGACTTTAAATTAGCACAAAAGAATTTTAAATCATGCACAAATATAACAGCTTGATAGCTTGATTGACATAGTGGTGCAGTATATTTTAAATATAAAACAAATATGACTTAGCTATTTATCATTTCCTTGTATGTGAATGCCTCCATCCATCGAATATCCACTATGGTCACGATTATTATTCAATACATTTGATATCATCATTTACATAACAAACAATTACATCACCCAGGTAGTAATAACACCAAGGCCATGCATAAATGAAACTTTTAACAATGTGTGTCTACCCAGGTCTCTGGGATTCACAAGAATAAATAAATAAATAGGGGATTAAAAAAAATATTTCCCTTCCCATTGTGTAGTTCCTTAAAATGAATAATAAATCTGATGTTAATCACAGGTATCAGACTTAATTAAAAATTTTCCTGTCACATACAAGCAAGCTTTGTGCATTCACGTGCCTTATAACTGCGGATTTTTTCCACAGGTAAAGCAATTGAATAAGTTTGAAGGCTTTGGACAAAACTCTCCCTTATATTTTCTCAGACCAGGCTTGTCTGTTACCATATTGGCATTGATCACTGATAGCTGGTGATTGTGCAATGGTTGATTTGTGTTATATCCCTCTAGAATAAAGTCAGTGTCTGCAATTGGTTCAAAATTCTCCATCTCAGAAGATTGCAATCCAGGTTGCTGTTTTGGATTCAGAGTTTGAGCCCTAGGTTGCTGTCTTGTTGGCAACATGCCTACTCAACAACAACCCTACCCCATTTAAAAAACAAGTTCAGTTGGTCAAATAAAAATTAAAGAAACAGAGAATTTATGAAAATGATTAATTTATACATAGCATACCAAACAAAATCTGAACCATTTTATAACTTTTTTCTTGTAGGCCATATTGCGATAATTTTAATCTACAGGACAGGGGAATGATTGTGAAAAAACCCCTACCCAAAATTATAAATTGGTTAGTATTAAAAAAACAAATAATTTAGGAAAATAATTATACAAAACAAACATTATTTTACAACCTTCCTCTTAACATCAGAGCCCAAATGCAATTTCAGGGCCACCAACCCTGATCTAAATTCCAACATCCTGAGCTTGAAACGAGTTGCAGATTCTCTTAATATTCCTCTAGAGTTGCAACAGCTTGGTCACAGAGCCAGCCTTAGAGGTGGGGTTGTTGCAGGT